TGTTTCCATTATTTTTTGTATACAGATATGAGACGAGGTACGCGAGGTGCATCTTCTTCTAGACAGCAGGTTGATCCAGAGGGAGAACAACAGAGGTCATTTCGTCGTCTTATTCAGGGGCCTCGTAGGGCTATTCCTACACAGCAGCAGCTGCCTAGCTTGAGCCAGCCTCTCGCACAGCAACAGATTCCCAGTTTGACTCAGCTTCCCACACAGCTGCAACAGGAGCAACCCACTGTTACTCAGCCACCATTGGCCGATGACCAGTTCACTGGTGATGATGCAACAGTGGAGGAGGAGAATATAGAGCGTAATTTGGAGGTTGAGTTGGAGGCTGAGTATGCTGTGCTTGATCCTGAGTTAGATGCTCAGTTAGAGGAGGAGCTATCACATGCTGTCCCGAAGACAGGACGTGGCATGGATAAAGGAGATGACGCTCCTGCAAACCCAAGTCAAAGGAAGGTGCTTAGCCTTAATCGCCGAGGCACATTCAGCCATGAGAGGTTTGGGAGGACTGCCATAGTCATTTGGAAGTACTTGTATGATGAGCCAGTGCTTTTCTGGTCTAGCTGGCCTGAGGAAAAGAAGAGGGTTGCTTGGGAGCATTTTCAGGTATGAAAATTATAGAATAAAATGAAGTATTTTTTGAGAATTTATTTAGATGCTATCACTTTACTCTTATGGTATTTGATATGGAAGTACTCGGTATATTTTATATGATTTTTTTATATTTTATTTATAATAGTGAAAAAATGACAATTTAAACAAAATTTTGCTATTTTTAAAGAAAACTCAAATAAATTATTAACATTTAATTTTTTTTTCATTGCAGAGGACATATTATTGGGAAGAGGATGATGCTCGTGTGTATAAAGTCTAGAGATTACATTGTCGAAACCGTTTTCGAGACGAGCTTCATCGAGCTCGAAAGGCGTGGGTCAGGGACAAGAAGTTGCTCGAGTTTATGCATAAGGATACCTTTAAAATTTTGTTGGCAAAATGGAGAAGTCCAAAATATATTGCACTCCAGGAAAGAGGTCGGCAAAATCGATCAAAGGGTGATTGTGTGACCCACACAACTGGATGCCTTTCTATTGAGATCCATGAGGATCGACTGGTTAGTAAGATATACTTATATAAAGTCTGCACATATAAATAATTTTTTTTACCATAAAATGGAAATGTTATTGATTTTATTGATATTTTAATAGGCAGCTAAAAGAGGAGGAGTTAGGCCGACACCTTTAGAGTCGTACTTGTTGACTCACA